TTTAAGTGCTCTTAATATGTCCATAACCCAGATTGGGTGGTCAATTAAGACAGCTTACATGGACACACCGAAATGTTTTAATTTGTTGAAATTTTGTTCTGAATGGGTCTAGAGCCTTGTTTTGGTTGACTCATTGTTGGATTTACACCATTTATGTTTATTGAATCTATAACTTTTTTCAGTGGTTTGTTGATCAGGTGGATTCAGTAAGGTTGAGCGTGGCTCTTAATGTCATTGTCCAGTTATTCATTGAGCAGGGATTGATAATGGTTCTTAAGTGGATTTAAGACCATTAGCCCAGTGGCTCTTAGAGTAGGATCGATAATGACACCGAAGGTGGAAGGTTGAGCATTGCTTGCTCTTAATACTACTAGCCCAGTTGCTTGAGAGTAGGGAACGATAGTGATCCTTAAATGAATTAGAATCACTAGCCCGGTTACTGCTCGAGTAGGGAACGATAGTGGTACCGAATGACTGAGGTTGGGAGTATCCCTTAATGCATCTAGCCTAAGAGCTCATTGAGAAGTGGATTGATAGATGCACCGTCGAGTTGATAGGGTTGAACTTTTCGTTCTTAATGTTCTTATTCCATTGCACAGAAAAATCTTGAGTTTGCAAGGTGCTTGAATGTGTTTTAAGCCTGCAAGGAAAGACTCTAGATGTGCTGGGAATATGTATTTTATACACAGACGGAACACCTACGTGAGTACGAGGGGTGGCCTCCTTCAAGGGAAAATTGTGGTGTAGTTTTCCTGAAGTACTCATGAGAGTCCAAGGTGTAGGCCAAGATGGGCGGAGTTGCTTAAGCTCTAAAGTCAAGGTATGTGTATTCAAGGTCCCTTCCTCGCTCCTAGGAGTTCAAATCTTAGGATACTCACTAGGGAAGTGTTGAAAACCTTGTGCACTAATGTGTTAGTTCAAACCTTTGGATACTAGCATTTAAGTACTAAGACTTTCATTTACTGTTCAGATTTCATGTTGAAGATCCGCTCGCATTAGTGGGGGATTATTGGAAATAGGTAATGCAAACGGATTCTCGCGCCCGATCGGGCGATGGTTCGCCCGACCGGGCGGAGGTGGCTAAGGAAAATAGGAGAACTCTCGTGCCCGATCGAGCAGCCCTCGCCCGACCGGGCGACGGACTCGAGTTTTTGACGAGCTCGATCGGGCAGCTCTCGCCCGACGGCTCGCCCGAGGTGGGTTTTCTAGATCGCCCGACCGGGCGGTGTTCACCCGACCGGGCGCGACACCAGGTCTGGGAAAACTTTATCTCGCGCCCGATCGGGCCTGCCTTTTTCCTTAGGTCGGTTTGTTTATTTGTTTCCTTATTTCGGGACTCGTATAAATATGAGCATTGCCTTTCCTGTATTCATAATTTTATTATTATTGAACCCTAAACACATAAACAAAAAACTACCCTTTGAGATCTGAACAGTTTTTGAGCAATTTCACTCTTTGAGTTCGGGTGCACGAATTACGGGGAGAGTTGCGTTAAACTTGGAGGCGTGCGTCACTAGGAAACTTGTACCGGTGGTGGCGTATTTCGCTTCTAAGGCAGTGGATTATTGTTCCACGGCGCGACTGTGAGTGTGAGATCTTCAATCAAGTATTTTCCCTTTCATCTTCTCTATTTTTTGTTATTGGAATCGACAAGTATTTTACCAACACTTGAACCCTTCTAAAGAGGTGGACATTATTATTAGTATTACCCTCATAACACTTTGAAGATTATCATTAAAGCAACCTGTATGCAACTTTGCGTTGTTTGGAGCTTGAACTTGAGTTATTTAGCTAATGAAATTCCTTCTAATTAAGACTCAAAAAAGTGAATAACTCTATTTCCATTCTAGGTCCATTTGTTAAATTCTTGATATCGTCAATCAAATTATTTTCTTCTATTTCATGGAATGAAGATTCATTGTAAGTTCGTTGTAAAATTTTGTGATACATGAGCAAGCAAAAGGCCACGGACCTAATGTAATTTTTATATATATATTCAAAAATAAATTATTATTTATTTTTTAAAAAAAACTAGTCAGAAGACCTTATAATCATCATTATTCATTAGTTTGATTATATATATACAATATAATAGAACTTTAGAAGTCAAGTTAATGCAGAACATATGCTCATTATTCAGAATCATCATGTAACTTTGAGTAAAGTTTGATTTGTTTGATGAATAACTTTAGGCTCTGTTGACATTTATTGAATAGGGCTGAACTAAACTGATTGGAGCTGAACTGAATTGATTAGAGTTGAACTGAACTGAACTGGACTAAACTGAGCTGAAATAAATATTTTATAAGAGAGAAAAATTAAGAGCTGAACTGAATTGATTGGAGCTGAACTAAAATATACTGAACTGAACTGAACTGATTGAAGCTGAACTGAATTGAAATTAAGCAAAAATTAACAGGCCCTTAGCATTACACGGTAACATGTCACATAACAAAATTGTGAGCAGGAAACTCCAACCCTGGAATATTCTCGCACATGCAACTGTCACAAAACTAACAATGAGGCTGAAAAGATACAATTTTTAAATAAATTAAGAAAGAAATTACTATTTGTTGTTTTCTCAAATTAGAACACATTTCAGAAAATAAATTAATTCGCAGTACGCGGAATTATTAAGCATATAATAATATTGAATTTTGGTCTAAGTCAAACTAAGATCTCAATTTAATAAAATACTAGTTGGTAGTACAAAGTTCATCTCAAAACAAGTTGGAACTAAAATTTTAAATTTATAATTAAGGCTTGTGCTTAGATATGCTCATAAGCAAAGTTCATGTCATTACGCAATGACTTACGTAATTGAATAGTCGTGTCATTTAAAATATATGTTTAATTAGATATTCATCGATTCGATTTAGTGAAATTTTATCAGCTACAACACTGCAACTTGTGTGTTGATGAAGGAATATAGTGTATCATCAAAGATTCAATGATTTTACACAAATGAGGACAATGGAGATGGTATTCCCCCCCCCCCCCCCAAGTTATTGGGGTTCGATCCTCATCCCCCTCCCCCAATTTTTGTGATAGAGTGAGGGGTCTCTCTCGTATCATACTGATTAAGATGATTTAATATAAATGGCTAAATTGTGATTAAGTATTGGTAAATGTAAAAGACGAATACTCAATTTTGAATTGAAAATCAATCAATTAATGCAATAAATCAAATGATTTAAATTCATACGTCATGAACTCTTGATACACCATTACATACATTGATATCTCCTTCACCAAATAATATTTAGTTTAGTGGTAAAAATAAATTATTTCTCAAATTTCGGGATCAATCCCTATTATGGGATCAATCCCTATTATGAGTGCTTAATTTGGAGTAGTACATGATTCTTAATCCTCAAAGAACATTGCTTATGTGCTAATTTGATTTGAGTTGATTTAGGCAAAATTATGATATGCTTTACAAACTTTTTTTTAGAGATGAGTTACTCGTTCTAAAGTTGTTAACATGTTTTAATTTCATGGTCAATGATCACGGAAGTATAATACTATCGTCACACTTAATCAGTGAGTTTGACTTCAAACTTAAAAGGAAAGTTCCTTCATTTCACATTCCTAAGTAATAAGATAACAAATTAATAAATCGTCAATAATTCGATAATAGGACAAAAAGAAGAAGTCCCGCCATTATTTAATACGAGTGTTCGTTCGTGCAATGAAATGTTAGCGTTATGAATATAAATAAAGTGAACATGAATATATTAATAAAGTTAGTACGAGTAAAATTAATTATATACTCATGTGAATCATGTCGTTTTACAATAATACAGCGCGTATAAATTAATAATGTAGTATATTGATTCACACTATGACTACTCTAATCAAATTCAACGTTAATTGGGTTGAAAAGATCGAGGAGGTATAGGTCAGAAGTCATAACAATGAAGATTCATCTTAGATATTAAGGTTATGTTCACATTTAATGAATTGAGCTGAACTAAATTGAACTGAACTGATTAAAGCTGAGCTGAACTGAACTGATTGGAGCTGAGTTGAACTGAATTGAAATGAAATGAATACTTTATAAGAGAGAGAAATTAGAAGATGAATTGAACTGATTGGAGCTGAATTGAACTGAACTGAAATTAAGTAAATGTGAACAGACCCTAAGCATGTTTTTTAAATGAACAATGTCCAATTTTAATGACTTGATTTTTTATTGTAACAATGAAAACCAAGGATATGAGAAAATTTAGTGATTTTTTTCCCCTTAAACTACTGTACTCCGTAAATATTTGAAAAAAAATAATAAAAAATAAATCAGATTATAAGTGAAATAAGATTATTGATAAAAACACATTCTTAATTCTATTTTTCTTAACATTTAAAAAAAAAAATTATGAGGAGAACATAGCTTTATTAACATTAAAAAGTATGCATTTGCTACATCATTGGTTTTTTAATTGATTTTTTTTTTTAAAAGAGTTTTTTAATTGATTTTCTCTGTTACATCAAGCTGAAAATTCCTAAGTATATAACTAAATATACTAGATACGTAGTATATATATATACGAAGCATATATTAATGTAGTTGAGTCTATCTTTTTGTATGAAAGGGTGTGTGATTGAGTCTAATAACAACATCAAACTAGTGTATGGCGATGCCCCGAGTTGCAAGTTTGTACTTGTTTAGGTGTTTTAGGAATGTATTATAATATATAAGTATAAATTAGACCATTAAACAAATACTTGTACGAAGTATATGTTTTATTTTCAATTAGTTGTGTAATATGAAATACATAAATATTTTTGTTTGGTGAAAATGAAATACATAAACATCACATTGAATAATTCTCTTGAATCTTGATCAATGATGAATCATATATAACCTTTTGGTTAAAGTTTAAAAAAGACACTTAAGATATGTAATCTAATCTTGTCTACATCATTTGCTTTTATAACTCTTTATATATAATATCAAAAACATATGAATTATATATGAAGTACAAATAAAATTTCGAGGTTGTGGTACATATATAGATTGGTAATAAACAAATGAAATATATACAATTAAAATTTCAAGGTTGTTTTACATTATGGGGATATTTTTTTTTTTTTTTTTTTGAGAAAAACATTATGGGAATATAGATCAGTAATAATGTTAAAAAAAAAAAGTCATTTTTTTTAACAAGTTGGATGTGACTCCTTATTACAACTTATACAAATAATTTACTTAGGATTTACCAAGGGGATGATCGATGATGGGGTTGAATTTTGACTATTTCGAATCTAAGGACAACGCATAAGCTGTACTCGTATTAGATTATAACACTAATGATATAAAATTAGGGTACAACTTCCGTGATTACAGAGGTAATCAGATGGAAATTTCAACGCAATTTACCCAAAAATAAAAAGTCTATCTTTTTCCATGAGGGTAAATTCGTACTTTAAAGAACAAAACCTCTCTTAAATTTAACGGTCAAACTCACAAACCCAGTTAGTTTGAATTTGTTTGTTTCAAAAAAAATTCCATGGCAATTCCTTCACATGGGCGCGCCAGTTTTTCTACTCAGGCCAATGCTCTTCTCCGAAAAAACTTGGTTTTTCAGGTACCTTTTTTCTGCATATTTATTTTTTTTTTTTTTTAATTTTTTTTTATTGGGTGCAATTAATTTAAGCTTCATTTATATTTTTTTAATTGTTGTTTAAAAACTCATTTTATATTTTTATGGGTTTAGATGTATAGAACTTGGGTTTTTTTTAATGGGGTTTGTGTAATATTATAATTCAAATGTTTATTTGTTGATTGTAGTGTTAATATTGCTGTAGTTGGTGTTTTCTTACTTCTTAGTGGGTTTGTGTAAATGTGTGATTTAATTTAAAGTAATTTGTCATGCCCTTTGTTTCGGGATTATTTCGATTTAATAGCCACATTGATAATGTGATTTAAACTAGCGATGTGATAACTTAATCCGGATGTTGGGAGTAAAATTTTAGTCAAATGTGGCTCAAGTTGTGAATTTGGGGGTGTTTATATTGTGGGTGATCTTGGAATGTATGTTGATTGAGATTAATTTTTAAGATTTTTTTAGTGTTAAATAAATAGAGTTGGTGGATGATCTATGATTCTAAGATATTGAAAAATTATATAAAACTTATTTAATATAAAGTAAGATATCAATTATCTAGACATAAATTTGCTTACTATTAGATTCTTACATCTAGATGATCATCATTTTATCATATTGCATAATTTAGATGTCAATTCATTTGAAATTGAGAAGATTATAAGCTTATAACATTGTGATTAATTAAATTACTATGTTAACTTTGCTGTTGCCTGAACTATACATTGCAGAGACGAAACAAACGTTCGAATTGTTGTCTCATAATTTTTCCAGTTTTACTTTGTGTTCTTCTTGCTGTCTTGCAACGAGCAATAGACAATGAATTGAACAAAGATAAGTACAAATGTGGATGTGCTCAAGTTAATGGTAAAACTGAATGTGGGATTCAATATTCAACATTAGATCAAGCTTCTAGTTGTCCGATTCCTAATCCCCAAAAATGGCCTGCATTGCTTCAACTTCCTGATCCCCTGAGTCGCGCTGTTAGAACTGATGGTTTTACATTTCCAAACTTGCCTAGCGAGTCATGTAGACGGACAGGTAATTGTCCTGTCACTGTACTTGTGACCGGGACTAATAGAACATTGGGGCAAGGTACATCTCTTCTCTGTGTATATGTACAAAGATTTTTCACTTTGGTTGTTTCTTGGAACTTTGTTTGATTATGTGATTTTTGATCTTTCTAGGCATGGCCAGCAACCTGTTTCCGACTTCCCCTTTGAATTCCTCCAACCCTTTACTTAGTTTGGCAAACAATGTCTTGGTAAGTGTTTAGGCATCCACTTTGTCTTCACTAGTTGTTATGGAAAGATATGAAATCTTGACGCCTTCAACTGTTTCAGGGAACAATTTCGATGCCAGCAACAGAGAATTTTCTTGATCCTGCTTACTCCTCAGGCCTTCCTCTTCACTTTGTGAGACCATTCTGCCAGTCCAACTCGTCGTTGTCTTTACCTGAAGAGGTTATATCATCATCTATGCAGCTAGGTATAACTAGATTTCTGGCTTTTCATAGCTTATTTTTCTACGAGCAAAGAATAAATTCAGATTAACTTATCTGCATGTTATATTCACTTATGAGCTTATTATATTAACTTATCCGAACTTATGTTCAGCAGTGAATAAGTTTAGATAAGTTCAGATTAACTTATTACATTAACCATAATATGTCTTATTATGCATTTACAAAAATTTTAAAAGTTACATATTAGTAAAGTACACATTGAGGCCAATCTAACAACATCGTGCATAAGTAAATTATACCTTGTCAATACATCACATATATAAGTAATAGTTAAAGTAACTTATGTGAATGTTGTAGAAAGTTAATGGGATTGTTTAAGAAAATGGAGGAAGTACTAATTAACCGTGTAAGTAGCTTAGTCAGCGTTTAACCCTTAAGATTTGGCAATCAACAGTATATAATAGAAGAAATTATTAAAAGAATAAAATAGAAATAAGCTACTAATAGAGTGATAATCATATAAATTGAATAGCTTAATTAGTTAAATAATTGGATCTTGCACGAAAAATCTTTAACCCATTAGTCATTACCACTGTGGCAACTTTATTTTACAATATACAAGTAACAACATTTCTATATATCCTAAAATTTTTGTTAATGAATTCTGGATGTCAAATCTTTTAATAAAGTTTCTAAGATTATCTAACTTCAAACATGCATGTATTCATTTGTATGAGAATAAACTGTTTCCCACCTTTTCTCTTCTACCGTACTTTGTGTGCCGCGCATGAATACACAAGAAGGTTTTCTTGTCAAATTGACTGTCCATATTGCATCTCAAAAGATATGTCCTTTCATCCTTTAGTACTACCTTAATTTTAGAATTCCTGAGGACTCTCTGTCTCTCTCTCTCTCTCTCCCTCTCATGTACTACCTTGTGGCTTTTTGCTCTAATGATCTTATTGATTCTCTTATAGAGATGTAGAATGTGCTCAAGGTCTTCATCTATGGCGCAATAGTTCATCTGATATTAATGATGAGTTGTACAAGGGTTACCGTAAAGGTAACCCAGAAAGGAAGATAAATGAATATGTGTCTGGTAAGTCCTTAGCAATTTTTAAACTAAGTTTGTAGAATCACTTCTTTTCCCATATATAATTTTCTAAATTCGCTTCTAAATATTTATTTTATTATATTTTTTCCTTTTAACAGCATATGATTTTCTCAACTCAAACATGAACAACTACAATGTGAGCATATGGTACAATTCAACGTACAAAAATGACAGTGGATTTTCTACAATTGGATTGCTACGTGTACCACGTTCAGTCAATCAGGTAATTTTCTAGCTCCTTGCTTGTCTTTTAGGCTCAGCAGTCACTGAGATTTTCCTTTTGTTTGTTTTCCTCATTTGATTTTATTATTTATATTAATGTTCTAGCTTGTTGGCCCATTTATTTCCTGCCCTCTCTTGTATATGTGCTCTTCCCTCAATTGTGGTGATTTGAAATATCTCTATCATAGTGCACTTTAGCAATTGTACATTTGTACCAAATCTTGGCGTTCAACCCAAATGGTAGTAGATGCTTTGGTGCAATTGCTCATTGTCACCTTACATCAGATTTGAAAGTCAAAGTGGGAACAAATTTTTTGCTCTGCTAGGAGCTTTATGCACTAATCTTTATCCCTATGCTATGATTTTCTATGCTTTTATGTCCATTTTTGTATGTTTATTCAGTATAAACATTCAATTTTATATTACAGGTATCTAATGCCTATCTTCAAAGTCTATTCGGACCTGGTACCAAAATGCTTCTTGAGTATGTCAAGGAAATGCCAAAGCCTGGAAGTCAGCTTAGAGTTGATCTTTCGTCTCTCCTCAGTGCGCAATTTTTCACATATGTCATTATAGCACTATTTCCTGTAAGTATGTTTTATCTTTCAAATGTTTTTATCTTATAAAAGCACCATATATTGGATTTTCCCTTTATTTTTTTTGCAGCCATAGCTCTATTATATATTATGAAACTTAGCGATTGGACTTTAATGTCTTGTAGTAAGTCCAGTTGAATGTACAATATACATAAGTTGTCTTCAGTAGCTTGTGATGGATACTTTGTAATGAGAGTTTATTATCTTATTGAGGGAAGTGAATAAAATTCAGAAGTTATCGGGGCACCCATCAGCAACATCTTACTCATTTTATGAAAGTTAAGCTAATAAAATCAATCCTATCATCCACCTTCACCAGTATTGTTGTGTTTGCATGATGATCCTTGTGTTTTGCTCCCTCTGTCCCATTATTAAGTGCCTACTTCCTTAATTGGGTGTCTTAGAATTAAGTGGTACTACTAAAAGTACCACATAATTTTATCATTACAAATCTACTTCTTTACCTTTCCCATATGAAAAAGCCCAACATTTTCCCAAATTTCAGTGTCATTAAAAACCATTTAATTTGACCTTTTCAATGTAAAATAACTCAATTAACTGTATGATTTACTATGTACTTTTTTACTTTTCCCATATAAAATTCTCTTCATTTCAAGAATGTTACATACTCTCTCCATCCACCCTAAATTCCCATAAAATTCAAGAAACAAGCACTTAAAAATGGGAGTATTATTTATTTATTTTTTTTATTTTTTTTTGGAGATTGTAAATTTTAGTTTTGATGCCAATCTCAGTTTAAAAAGGCAACGCTATGCTTTGGTTATTAAGGTATCTAAATGAAGGATTTAAAGTGTGATCAAGCTTATATGGAAAGACTCAAAGTTACCTTAGTCAAGTCAAAAGACATGCTATATGGTCTATGTTAATTATAATTTCCTTTTAAAGACAAGCATATTCTTGGTGTGAATGAACACCTTGAAGGGTGTACGCAATTATATGGAGAAGTGATAATGCTAAAAGGAGAAGAGGATAGTATTTAACTGGAGCTCATTGTGAATCTACAATACTTGCATAACCTACACTCCCTTCTACTTTACAGATAGAAGTGATAATGCTAAAAGCCCAAAACCACCTCTTCATTCCCCAACTTTTAATAAATAGGATAGAACAGGAAAAAAAAAATCAAAGTAGAGACAGTTTAACTGTTGTGCAGTCAAATATTTTCCCCAACATGTCTTGAATTATAAATTATCTATCACATTTCTTAAATCCTTACAAAGTATTCAGGTGCCTCAAAGTTTAAATTGTAGGCTATTTGTGTATGCAGTTGACGTAATCATTACGCCATGGTGTTTGCCTATTTTACTGAGAAATTCACATAATTTTTTAAAAAAATTTAATTTATTTCTTATGAATTTTGTATTTTGATGCAGGTTGTGCTAACTGCTCTGGTTTATGAAAAACAACAACGACTGCGTATTATGATGAAAATGCATGGGCTTGGTGATGGTCCATATTGGACAATTTCCTATGCTTACTTTCTAGCTTTATCTGTGATCTACATGATATGTTTTGTGGTACTCGGATCACTTATTGGTAAATAAAACCAAACATAAGTACTACTTCATATTTTTTTTACCCTTTAACATACAACAAGTGTTTTACTATGTATATCTCTCATGCCTTGTATTGTATTCTCTGCAGGACTAAAAATCTTCACATTAAATGATTACAGCATCCAATTTGTATTCTATTTCATCTATATGAATTTGCAGATTTCAATGGCTTTTCTTGTAGCCCCCTTGTTCTCGAATGTTTTGTCTGCAAGAGGTGTGAATTTTATCCTATTACCGCCTTCTTACACTGAAGTAGTCTGCTAAACTGTCATGATTCTAATATGTTGTCTCAATTTCTTTCAGCTGTAGGTTATTTACTGACGTTTGGTACCGGGCTGTTGGGAGGATTCCTATTTCAAAATTTCATTGAAGATACCTCTTTTCCAAGTAAATCGTCACTGATTTCTATTTTCCATTATTCTACATATTTGTTTTGGTCATTCACACATGTCATTGTTCTCAATAACAGATGCAAATTTGTCAATCGGTGAAAAGTATATACTCTTTAGCATTGCCCATTTCCCTCTGCACTTTGGGGGTTAATGCAACTATGCAAGTATACAACATTTAGGGGTTTTTATGTACAAAAATATATGCTACAATAATAATCAAGTACATTTATAGATATAATGGTATATGTGATGGATTTAGTAGATTTTCATGTGCCATACACACTTGAAGATGAAACTTCATCATTTACAGCCAATTTGATAGAAAGAGGTTTCTTATACAAACTAAATATAGTTATTTAAAATCTTTGATGAACTGATTCTGGCTTCACAAATAACCCTTACTGTTCTATGGTATCCTTTTTAATTTAGTATTTTCAATGTCAAAATTTTATGAGCTGTCATACGCATTTTATAAAATGTGAAGCAAGCAATGCACGAATTTAGATCTATCTTTATACCTCATTGTTTCATAATAGTTGATGCATTTTGTTTAGAGGCTTTTACCAATGCATAACTTCAATTATGTACCGCCAAAAATTATAAAAATTTGATACTTGCGAAATTTTTGAGACAAATCATACAAGACCCCACTCGGCTATGTTTTTTCTTAAAAGTAGTCACAAAATGAAGTCAAAGTAACTCATGTAATTGTGGCAAAAGTCAAAGTGTGTCAACTAAAATGAAATAGAGGAAGTATATGATAGCACTTAGTTGCATAACAAGCAATAGATTGGTAGGTATCTAACGCAAATTATGCATGGGCTTGAATTGCTATATTCTTAATTGGACTTGGGAAATTCATAAATTTTGTCAGTTGATATAATGAAATTCATGTGGTTCTTATCTATTTTGGATTTTTATTGTAGGAGGATGGATTATTGTTATGGAGCTATATCCTGGATTCTCTTTGTATCGAGGTTTATATGAGCTCGGGCAATATTCTTATCTTGGGAATCAAATGAGCACCCATGGTATGCGATGGGAAAACTTGGGTGACAGCAGGAATGGGATGAAAGAGATTATGATCATCATGTTCATTGAGTGGTTGATCATGCTTCCTATTGCATATTACATTGATCAAGTTATATCATCTGGAAGTGGTGGGAAGAGAAATCCTCTATTATTCTTCCGCAGCTTGATAAGAAAGTCAAATTCTATTTCACGAAAGCGTAGTTTACACAAACAAGGATCAAAAGTCTTTGTGGAGATGGAGAAAGCTGATGTTGTGCAAGAGGTAATTCTTTTTAAACCATTGTATACATATTTGTTTGTACTTTGTAATCTTCATTTAAAGTAACAAGTGTTTTAAAATTGGGAATGAACATATCATACTATCTTTGGAATTATATCCCAATTATACATGCAAATGCTGCTTTTTGTAAGTCTCTTTGTATTGGTCAATATTCATTTGGAAGCCACTGCAAACTGTAACGTAGAGTATTATGTTTTCTTTGGGTGGTCATTACCTAAGCATGAGTTATATTGGGGCGGTATGTTTTCTTTGCCTCTGAAAAAGGGCTAAAAACATGGTAGTGTTGTGCAAATTTCCTATGTCAACGCTCTTCTAACCAACTCTTAAAACTCTTTTAGTGCATGTGGCCTCCTAGGCACTTCATGACTATCTAGGACTTCCACACTGGCCGTCAGTGTGATGAAAACACTCAGATGCAGCTGGTCAACATCATAACATCTCTCATAAAAGTTCATAGAGCCTTGCATTTAACCTGAGTGTCAGACAGATAGCCTGCACTTTGTGCACTTGTACAAAACTTAGATTAGATAATAGAACCATTCTTAGATTTTTTTTTTCCCCTTATATAGTAAAATCTCTCTCTATTCCCCCTGCCCATCCTTTTGATAAGTTAGGGTTTAATCTTGAGAGAAGACTCCTAAAATATAAATATGTTTTTAGTTTCCACATGAAATTTTTTACTGTACAATCACTAAGAAGTTGTTAACATCTCTGCAATCTTGAACAGAGGGAGAGGGTGGATCAGCTGTTATCAGAATCAAGTTCAAGCACTTCTATAATTTGCAGCAGCCTGAGAAAGATCTATCCTGGTAGGGATGGGAACCCCCCAAAGCTTGCAGTTAAAGGATTATCTCTCGCTGTGCCTCGTGGTGAGTGCTTTGGGATGCTTGGCCCAAATGGGGCTGGGAAAACCTCTTTCATCAGCATGGTGAGAACATTGTTCCCTTTGCTTGCTACATATGTGCATGACTTCAAAAGTACTACCTTCATATATTTAAGTATGCCCTTTTGGGTTGTTTCTTTTAAGTTTGCTCTATTCCATACGAGGGGACCACAACTTTACTCTCACATACAATACGTTTGGTCCCACCAAATTTTCTGTCGCACCAAACTTATTAATGTAATTACTCCCCAATGGGGGCAAGAGGGAGTATGATTTTGAACACATGTATGATCATTAAGTAATTTTGAAGCAAATTTAAAGTTAAAAGAACTAGTGTTGATAATTCAAGCGTTCTCTTATTAATTTCAAGGGAACACATAGTGAATTAGTGATCTTACTTATTTTCAACTATTCGCTCTTGAATCCAGCAAACTAATACAGAATGTGAGATTTGTTTTGGTGATGACTAAAATTAACATAAAAGGAAAAATATAGAGTGTAATGTTTATTTGTTTGCAAAATGGGAAAATAGACGATCAATGTCTTCTTTTTTCTCGTGTAGATGATTGGACTCACAGAGCCAACATCTGGAGCAGCATTTGTTGAGGGTTCAGACATCCGTTCTCAAATGAATGATATATACACCAGCATGGGTGTTTGCCCACAACATGAGTATGTTTCCTGTCTTTTATCCTAGTAAAATGATTAAAATTTTCATTTGAGTTACACTTGTTTACACGTTTGTGCTAATGCATTTATACTCTTCCTTTACTCAGCCTGCTATGGGAGACCCTAACAGGAAGAGAGCATCTAATCTTTTATGGCAGACTTAAGAACCTTAAAGGTTCTGCCTTAACACAGGTAAGTTTAATATACAGTGTCATTGCATGGGACAAGAAAAGGCTCTGAAAAATCAGGAGGAATGTAATTTCTATGTTTACTACAGGCAGTTGATGAATCTTTAAAAAGCGTCAATTTATATTATGGTGGCGTTGCTGACAAATTTACTGGAAAGTATAGTGGAGGAATGAAAAGGAGACTTAGTGTTGCTATCTCCTTGATTGGTGACCCTAAGGTTTTTCCCGTGACTTTGCTGCTTGTAACTTTTTGGACTTCGGATATTCTAATTGATTTTTCTTATTAAAGGTTGTTTACATGGATGAACCAAGTACTGGATTAGATCCTGCTTCAAGAAATAATCTTTGGAATGTCGTGAAGCAAGCTAAACAAGACAGAGCGATTATTCTCACAAGTACCCATTCTATATTTCTATACATTTACTTATTATTGAGTTGAATGTGAGTCAATATACTTTATGGTTATATTTCTTAATGTGATCCCTAATATCTTTTCTCTTTGTCTCTCTTATTTTGCTTCTTTCAGCCCATTCTATGGAAGAGGCAGAAGTTCTGTGTGACCGGATAGGCATTTTTGTTGATGGCAGCTTGCAATGTATAGGAGGCCCAAAGCAGGTAATTTCTACTTCTAATCATCACAGATATAGAAGATAGTATTCTAACATAGTCTATGCTACCCAAATTGTCGGTCTAGCATGTTATGTGCTAACACCTTCGACTATTTGCTAGCAAGTCAGCCATTGGGCACTGCTCACCAAAGTATTCCTGTTAAGTCAAGTGAGATTTTCTCTTCACTTGACACTTCTCCCGTGCCTGACTATAAACACGCAAGCACACCTATTGTGCTGATGTAGCACTACACTTAGTGGAGCACGATCCCTGCTTAAAATCAAATCAAACAGATTGAAAAGAGTTTATCCCTGCTTAAGATTTAGCACAGATGCATGTTTTTGAATCGTAAAAACATAGGATTGTCAAATTTGGGTAGGAATTCTAACCACCATTGCATGGATACACATACACCATCTCAATAAGGTAACCTTGCTTTTCTCTGCTATACATATATAAATAGTGTTTTGTTTTTGTATAATGCAGCTTAAAGGAAGATATGGAGGGTCCTTTGTATTCACAATGACAACTTCTGCAGAGCATGATACAGAAGTGGAAACAATGGTGATGAGCCTCTCGCCAAATGCTCAAAAGATATACCACATATCAGGAACTCAAAAGTTTGAGATCCCAAAACATGAAATCCGGATTTCTGATGTTTTCAAGGCAGTCGAGAACTTTAAGAAGAGATTCACAGTCCAAGCATGGGGACTTGCTGACACCACTTTGGAGGATGTATTCATCAAGGTTGCTCGTGAGGCTCAATCTTCCGATGTTCTCTTATAATCATATACTATCTCCGTTTCATATTATTTGCAACGATTAAACATTTTTCCTCTCTACTTTATGTCAAATTGTTACAAATAATATGAAATGGAGGTAGTAGATGTGTACTTATGAGGTTTTGTTTAAGTTCCATATCTAGTTTAGGTAGATTATATATGAACTATCAAAGCATAGTCGTGCCACGTGTTGCTGCGTGCCTGTGTTTATGTCTTGTGTAATATAGTTGTGTAGTAACTTTGTTACTAAAATGAGTTATACAATCATTTATAAGAGCTTGTACAGTAATAATAATACTTCGTAACAATTTTTTACCATACTATATTTACATTAAAGTCACGCAGTAAATTATGTTGCCTAATCAATCCATTACTCCATTGTCTAGTGATATTACAGTATACAAATTTCAAATTCATGTATTCTTTGTTCTTGCAATTCCGAATAATTTCTGAGATGCCTAGCTAGACCTGCACACCAGAAAATGGCGAGGAAGAAATTTCTTATTTCTTATTAACTTATTATTTATATAGATAGCCCTAAATCCTAAATTCCTAATCCTTTAAAGTGAGGAAAAACTCTTTAATTGGTTAATGTACTAAATTCTCATTCTTCATGAAGTAGGCCCTATATCGTACGATGGAAGGGATATGTGTTTGTTTTATTTGTACTTTATTATTTGTCTACTATAAGAAAATTTGGATTTTTTTTTTTTTTTTTTTTTTTTTTTTGAAAGGCAGAACAAAATATGTATTACACTAGATGAGAATCCATGAGTACAAAAGGGTGTAATTTCAGGTGGAATACAACTTTCCCAAATTTGCTCTAAATTAAAAGGGATAAATTTATGAATTCAAGTAACTTGCCGCAATCAACCTCAAGCCACAAATTACGAGTTCTGTCACACTCAATTTGGCTTTTAACACTACACTATTTGAGCCATCGTGCGCAAGCCCAATGAACTAATATTAAGTGCCGTGCCGATAGAATGTTAGTGTAAGTGAATAATACTAATTGTTATTTTTATCGATAAGGAGTAAAAATAATTGTTATTGTTTTGTTAGGTTATAATTTGACGTTGGATGGAAAATTTAAGAATAATAAAGCGTTTTATAATTAAGTATAGAGATGTTATTATTATTCATATTGTCTATAAGTATATTAATATTGTATACTATTACCTCACCTTTATAAAAATTACTCACCCTTAAAGTATTTGCTTATCCTTATAGAATTATTAAACCCTAAAAATCATACAAAATTACATACTCATGATCATTATAAATAGTTTGCCTCGCCCTCTAAATGTAATATACAATTACCTTCTAAATAAATTGCTTACCCGTACCGAATTTGCTCATCTTTAAATAATTTGTTCGCCTCCAAAGAATTTCTCACTCCTAAAAATCATATTCAAATTACATTACTCTAAAACAGTTTGTTCACCTCCGTATAGTTTGCTCATGCCTAAATAATTTGCTCACCCTTAAAAAATTGTATAAATTATCGAATTGAAGGCAGCATCTTGTACTGCATATTCTTTGTTGAAATAAAAGCAACATTTGATTAATTATAAAAATCACTATCCTCTATTACACATCTTGCTTAATTGGTTAATTTCAAATACTGAGATCAAGCAATATTCATATGGTCGGTATTCTTCACTGGCTTCAAATCCTCCTTAATATTGTTTTAGACTAACATGATCATCAACCTGCAGCATCAAATAAAATAAGCAAATAAGCACCACCACTTTCCATCCAAACAAATTGAAAAAAAATTGAATTCAATGAAATTAAACTCATTACCATATATGATTATATGTATTCAGGGAGCTTGAGTATAAAATCTATAAATTCAATGAAAATAAACTCTCACTTAATGCCGTGACTTTGCATCAATCCAAAACATTATAAAGCCACAATTAAAGTAAATTAGAGATTTTCTAACAATTTTATAGAAATTAGATTTAGGTTATGATGAATAAAGTAAACATGATCTATCTAAGCTAAAAAAAAAAAAAAAAAAAAAAAAAAAAAAAAAAAAAAAAAAAAAAAAAAAAAATTGGAGTGGAGTGAAGCTCATTTTCTATTAGTACCGATAAAAAATTTAGCATAATATAGCTCAATTAGTATTATAGAGGATACTTGGTCTGTGAACACCCAAAAAAGGAAAATTGGCTTCTAATTATGAAACGGAGGCATTATTATAAAATAATAAAGTAAATCCTATCACCACTTTCCCTTATTGCTTTATTACTTTCTCTTTCTATCCTTATTGCTCTCTCGTGGCCCTCTTTCTCATTCTCTCTTTATTTCACTCGTTTTTTCTCCTTACTTCTCTTTCTTTCTCACTCTGTTCTAGTAAAATCCAAATTACAAACAAACAGAATATTTTTCTATGAAGTAGAACAATTGTTCACCTTTAAACACACAATCAACCTCTTATTTCTTAATTCACTCAACAGATTAGCTTCTCAAACTTCCAAAACCCTATAAAGCATGAAAAATTATCAACAAATCATCACAACCGAATCCAAAATTCTCAAACCCACATAAATCTTATCAATTTTAAACTAAAATTCAATCCAAAAAAAATAAAAAAAATGGGTACCTCAAACATCAAACAAACCCCATTTAATAAATCAACTTAAATAAACCAAATCGGATAAAATCAAGCAATTGTGTCATCAAATTAATAAGTGAGGCATTGAAGATATACCCAAATAACACAATCAAAGGTTTTTTTCCCCCATAAATTAGCTTGGCCGAAAGGTATGCTACTCAGCCATTGTCCCTAAATATACAGTTTTTTGGTGCAATGTTTGTTCTTTTGAACTATTCCACTCTATCTCATCCATTTTCGATGGTGTATAGCTTCAATACACATATTTATGCATGCCTAATTTGACTTATTAAATTATGCCAATTTTCTGATGAATACCAATAGAAAGTGAGCTTCACTACCATTGATTTATGATAAAAAAAAAAAAAATAATAAAAAAAAAAAAAAAATTAAATAATAACCAAAGAGCATTTCTCTTTAGCCTAATCACTTACAAGAAACACTGCAAGACTGCCTAAATGAAAATTTCATTAAAAAAAATTATTAAAAAAAATTAGGCACCGTAATCTAAAACAATAGCTCTTGAGGTTCATAACCACAACATTACCTTAAAGTAGTTGTAGTTTGTGGAAAAAATAATAATAGAACCATATATATCAATACTCCTTTTCCTAAACTCTATTTGATTAACAATAAAGTGAGGCTCTGATGTGCTCTGATGTAATACTGAGAGCCAAAGATGTCACGGCAGCTACCATCAATATTATTAAAGTCAAATCTTGACAAGCCTCCCAAAGGTACCGTTAAACCAAGTAAGAAAAAGAAGAGGATAGGGCAAAGTTTCTATGACATTAGCTCTATCTAGATTTGATATGCATAGAAGAGAAAGCACCATAAGAGCTGTCTATTTCATGTTCTGGTTCCCATTTTTCAAAAAAAATCATTAAGTAGTCAATTGGTGTAGCAAGACCCTCTTCATTGCCCATATCTATCATGGCAATAGCTAGAACAACTACTAAAGCATATTAAAGTCAGCTAATCCACTAATTTGTCCATTACCCCCTTCTTGATTCCAATAGCTTATACACAACCATTAATCATTAAGCTAAACCCGTCAATTGACAAGGTAAAGTCGTATCCCCTAATCAAAAGTAAATACCTAAGTCCTCTAACTAAAGTAGATAGGGAACTAGGGTCGAACTTTACAGGGAAACAAGTCTTTTTACTCCTAATTAATTATTATAATCTAAATTATCTAAGTAACCAATATTTTTGGGAATAAATTTTATACTACGAAAAATAAGTTTAGGGAGAAAAACAATAATAAGAAGGCCTAGGGTCACAGGTTCACCAATAATTAATATTCCGGGATAAAACATAATAATTAACATTGCACAAATAACATGATTAACAGGCTCTCGCAATTTATTAATCAACATAGATCTAACAGGCTCTCGCAATTTACTAGATCTAAGTTCCTATTAAAAATAGCCTTTAATATTAAAGTAACATCTGCTCGATTCATCAATTCAATATTGCTAAACATTCACAATCAAATTACATTTGCTCTATTCATAATCTAATTGCAAAGAATTAAAACAATTCAATAAGAAATTATCATGCAATATCAATAATCATTAATAACAAATTATCCCTTCATATTAATTATGGATCCCCATAAACCCTAGAATGAAACTACTCAGACATAATCATAACTAAACTAATCAAATAAATAAAACAAAACATAATCAAAGAAGTAAATGAAATAGCTGAAATTAAAGGAGAAGAAATTGTTACCAAAAGAAATCTGGATTAATGAAAGTAATTAAGAACAAAAGTTGAGAGAGAAATTAAGAGAGAGAAATATCCTAAGTAGAGAAAGAAAATCTAAAAAAGAAGGTAATCTAAAATTACATACATAATTCGTACTTAAACATTCCTCAAAACAAAAATTAAAACTAATATAATCAGGTCTGAGAAAAACATGGCCCGATCGGGCTAGAGGCCGCCCGATCGGGCGCGCCTTTTTCCTCGTGCCTCTTCTCAGCAGCAACGCCCGATCGAGCTAGATGCTCGCACGATCGGGCGTGCCTTAGGCCACGCATCAGCACCAAAGCTGCACGCCGCGCCCAATCGTGCTAGCTTGCCCGATCGGGCCCTTGCTTCTCTTTGAGGCTTGGACTTCGATTGGGCTTGATTCCTCGGCCCAATCCGGATTTCCTCTTCGGGTCTTGAATACTCGGTCCAAATACCTCGGTATCCCGATTACCGAGCCCTTAATCACCGGCTCAATGAATCTAACTGGCCTTGGGCTTCAAAGATGGTCGTGCTTTTCTAATTTCCGTAGTCGCTCCATGAAAAACCCGAGAAAATGCTCCAAAGGTGCAATTTCCTACAAAACTCAACAAAGACTACGAAAACACTAGAAAACACCAATTAGCAATAAAAGTGGCTCGAAAGAGCCAAAAACACTACTAATTATGACCAAGGGACGGGGGTAAATTACTATATAAAATGGACATATCAAACTCCCCCAAGCCAAACCTTTGCTTGTCCCTAAGCAAAGAGCTCATCAATGAACATATAAAACATGCCTCACCCCAATAATCAAATCAAGCACAAACGATTCAAGGCAAATCTAATGAACATGTTTCAACATCAATCAATCTTATTCATCTAATCACCCTTCCTCCCCAACAATTGTCAAATAGAGCAAACCACAAGAGCATATAGAATTCAAGACTAGTGCTCACAC